TTAATCCCAGTACTTGGGAGGCAGAGGCTGGTGAATCTCTATGAGTTAGAGACTAGCCTGGTCTACAGAGCAAGTTCCAGGACAACCAGGACTATGAAGAGAAACCACACACACACATACAAAAAGGAAGGAAGGAAGGAAGGAAAGAAAGAAAGAAAGAAAGAAAGAAAGAAAGAAAGAAAGAAAGAAAGAAAAGAAAAGAAAAGGAAGAAGAAAAAGAAAAAAAGATGTCTCCCCACCCTAGCAACCATTAATGGCCTATAGATCCCCAGAAGTGGTGGTGTCTCCTACATCCCTCTCCATAATAGGATGCTGACTGCTCAATTTAGTTCAAGTAGTCATGTCTGTGTATTTATTTTTGAGACAGGCTCTCTTGCAGCCCAACTGACCTTGAACTTCCAGGCACAGGTGTACCTAGTTTTTTATTGGAATGTATTACATGTATTCAGTTAATTCTTTGTGTGTGTGTGTCTGTGCGCTGGCAAGTGTGTGTGCACATGTGTGTGAGGTATGGGTGTGGAGATCAGGAGACAGCTAGCCTTCGGCATATGGGTCCCAGGGTCATCAGGTTTGGTAACGAGTGACTGCTTGCTAAGCCATCTGTCTCGTCTGTTTTGCTTTGATGTTGGTTTTTCATCTGCTGGAGAATTACATCCATTTACTTCGTTTTATTCTCTTCCGTTGCATCACATCACTGGCCCTATACACCTGACAGATACACAGATTTGTGGTGCGGAACATGGATCTATAAGATATACACTTTATTTAAGATTTATTTACTTTTAATTTTATGTATATGGGTATTTTGCTTGCTCGTATGTCTATATGCTTCAGGGATGCAGTGCCCACAGAGGCCTGGATGGAATGTTGGCTCTTCTGGGACTGGAGTTACAGACCGTTGTGAGCTACTGTCTTGGTGCTGGGCACTGAACCTGGACACAGTGCTTTTAACCCCTGAATGTCTCTCCAGCCCCAACTTTTTTGTTTGTTAAGACAGGGTCTCTCTATTTAATCCTGGAACTTACTATATAGCCCAGGTTGGCCTTGAACTCAAAAAGACCCCTTGTCTCTGCCTCCTGAGTTCTGGGATTAAAGACATGAACCACCATACGTGGCCTCCACATTTTTTTTCTTAGGGAGAACAAGATGGATCAGACCTCTCATTCTAGAGCTTTGAAGGCTACAGCAAGAGGATGGAAAGTTCATGCCCAGCCTAGGTTCCATAGCCAGACCCTGTCTCCGAGCAACAGTCTGGAGTGCTGGGGTGTAGCTCCTTTGTAGAGACCCTGCATAGAATCCCCAGGGAGGGGCTGGGGTGTTGCTCATTTCTAGAGTCCTGACCTAAAGCAAGGTGCTGGTTTCTTCCAACCCCTGTACCATCCCCACACCCAGAAAACCCATTTCAACCCCTCTAGCTGTCAGTCTAGATTCTTCGAGGTGTAGGTTTCCGCTGCTGTTTCCTTCCCACGCTGACATGTTGGATATGATTGACCCCATCACCCGTGGCTATCACTTTTCCTCATTAAATTGCTCCATGGGAGAGAGCCTGTCTCTGTTTGCAGCCCAGGCACAGAGTAAGTAGGTGGTCCATACTACCTTACTGGCTGAGTGTGCCCCCTGGGACCCCACACCCAGGTCTTCTGTGAGTATTTTAAGGAGCTGGAGGAGGAGAGCATCCGTGATAACTTTGTCATTGTGTACGAGCTGCTGGACGAGCTCATGGACTTCGGATTTCCGCAAACCACAGACAGCAAGATCCTGCAGGAGTGAGTACGAGAAGGTGCCTGTGACCGGGAGGCTTCTCCCTCTGAGGGGTCCCTGGTTATCTGAGACCCTCACTGCTCTTCCCCATAGGTACATCACACAACAGGGCAACAAGCTGGAGACAGGCAAGTCTCGAGTACCATCCACAGTCACCAATGCCGTGTCGTGGCGTTCCGAGGGGATCAAGTACAAGAAGAATGAGGTCTTCATTGACGTCATAGAGTCTGTTAACCTTCTGGTGAGCTTCTGTGCCTCATGTCCTGGGGGCAGGAGGGGGGACTCTGTACTTGTTGACACCCCATATTGGGATACCCCCTTTGCAGGTCAATGCTAATGGCAGTGTCTTGCTCAGCGAGATTGTGGGCACCATCAAGCTGAAGGTGTTTTTGTCTGGGATGCCAGAGCTGCGGCTGGGCCTCAATGACCGAGTGCTCTTTGAGCTTACTGGCCGTAAGATTGGGGGGAACCCCTTCCCGGGGAGGGGCTACCCCTAGACAGAGGCCAGTTCTGAGATAAGTGTTCACATGCTCTCTCATAATGGAGCCTTGCGTCTCAGCAGCAAAGTTCACCTAGCAAATGCTTTCGTTGTTAATGGGAGCTGCCTGCTGACCAAGCCCATTTCTGGCCTTGACATTCTAGTGGGAGCAGACAGGTTAATATTATTTAAACATCTCACAGACAGACAGAGTAATCCATGTTGTAATGTCAGCACTCTGGAGGCTGAGGCAGGAAGGTGAGGAGTTCAGTGTCATCTGGTTAGGGTAGCAGATGGGTTATAAGAAATGGGCAGAGATAAATGGTTGCCACACTAAGAATGCTAAGGGGGCTTAATCAACAAGTTCCAGGCCAAAAGAGAAATGCTGTCTCAGGAAAAAAAAAAAAAAATAAGGTGGATGTCACCTGAGGAAAGACACCTGGTATTGTCCTCCGGTGTCCATGTATACATGTACACACGCATACAAATATACACACGCATACAAATATACACACGCATACACACTGTAAAATAAAGCCAAAGAAACAAAAGCCAAGTCAAGCCAAGCATAGTGTTACACAAGAGTAATCCCAGAATTTGGGAGGTAGAAGCAGGAATCAAGGTAATTCTCAACTACTTAGTGAATGTGAAGCTGTTCTGGGCTACATAAAACCCTGTCTCAGAAGATCATACCAAGCACACCTTTCATACTAGCACTCAGGAGGCAGAGGCAGGCTGATCTCCATGAGTTCAAGGCCAGCCTGGTCTACAGAGTGAGTTCTAGATCAACCAGGGCTCCACAGACAAATCCTATCTTGAGGAAAACCCAAACCAACCAAACAAACAAACAAAAACCAGGCATTGGAGACTGGAGAAATGGCTCAGCTGTCAAAAACACTGGTCTCCTTTCCAGGAGACCCAGCACCCACATAGTAGCTCACAACTGTAACTCTAAGATCTGACACCCTCACACAGCCATACATGCAGGCAAAATGCCAATGCACATAAAATATAAACAAACAAATAAATAAGAAAGCAGGCATAGAAGCCAGGCAGTGGTGGCAAACACCTTTAATCCCAGCATGTAGGAGGCGGAGCAGGTGGATCTTTGTAAATTCCAGGTCAGCCTGGTCTACATAACAAGATCCAGAACAGCCACGATTACATGGTGAAACCCTGTCCCTAAAACAAATCAAATACAAAGGGTATGCGTGGTGGTGGTGTTTATCTGCTCTGACACTGGAGGAGATCCCCAGAGTGCTCTGGCCAGCCCTGCTTGCTAGTTTGTGAGTTCCAGGTTGAATGAGACACTTTGTGTCAAAAGATAAGACAGTGGGCTAGAGAGAAGGCTGAACAGGGAAATCGCTTGGCCACAAACACAGTGACCTGAATGAAACCCACACAGAAAAACCCAGAAGTGCTGGTGTACATCTGAAATCTCAGCATTCCTTTTAAAGATCTTTTATTTATTTATTTATTCATAAATTCATTAATTTATTGTTTTTTTCAAGACAGGGTTTTTTTCCTTTCCTTTTTTTTTTTTTTTTATTGAGTGGAGCCAGTCCTGGAACTAGCTCTGTAGACCAGGCTGGCCTTGAACTCACAGAGATCCACCTGCCTCTGCCTTCCGAGTGCTGGGATTAAAGGTGTGTATTACCATTGCCCAACTCCTTTTAAATATTTTGTTTACATGTTTATTTGTTCATTTATTATGTATATGGGTATTTTTTTCTGTATGTGTATCATGTCTATGTAGTACCCACAGAGGCCAGAAGAGGGTGTCAGATCCCCTGGTACCTGAGGAATTACATACATGTCAGCCCCATTAAGGTGCTGGGAATTGAACCTAGATACTCTTCAAGAGCAGCAGTGCTCTTTTCCCCTGAGCCATCTTTCCAGCCCCATTTAAGCACTAATGTATGCAGTGGAGGTTGAGACAGGAGGATCTTCCAGAAGCTCACAGGCCAGCTAGATTGAACCTGGAGCCTTGACAGGGTGGGAAGGAAGAGGCGTGGCAGCCACACACCTATGCTCACACATCCACAGCAATCTGTTAAACATGAAAAGGGCCGGGGCTCAGTAACCAGGACCCACATGGTGGAATGAGAGCGATGACTTCTTCAAGCTGTCTTCTGACCTCCATTTGCACTGGGGCACGCATGCCCCACCTCCCAAATAAATAAGTAAATGTAATAATAATTTAGGGAAGAACTTCTGGTTTCCACATGTACACATGAATTCATATAATACATACATACACACAGTATACTCACAGTACAAAGGGAAAATTAGAGCCTGGAGATGCTCCCAGTGTCTGAGGACATTTCTCGCTCCTGCAGAGGATCTGAGCACCTACTTCAGGTGGTTTACAACCATTTATAACCCCAGCTCCAGGAGCTCTGACACCATGTTTGACCTCTGTGAGCACCGAACACGCTTACACATGCAATCACTCAGACACAAACCTCCATCTAATTAAAAGTACTAAAATTTGTGCTGGGCATGGTGGCTCATGTGTTTAATCCTACACCTGGGATGAAGGCGGATCTCTAATTTGGAGGTCAGCCTGGTCTACATATGGAATTTTAGGACCACCAAGGCTATGTTAGACCCTGTCTCAACAACACAAAAAAGAAAAATCCTGATAAAATTTTTAGAAGAATAAAATGAAAATAGAAGGTTGGGGTGGGAGCCAGATGCTGTGCTTCTGTTTCAGGTCCCACCACTACCACTCAGCCCAGGCCCTGGGCCTCCTCTACAGACTGGAGAAGGTAGCACCCAGTAGGAAAGGTGGGGTGGAGCACACTCCTCAGCCCCAGGGTCACTCTGCTTTCTCCACTCCGAGTTTCAGGGAGCAAAAATAAGTCTGTGGAGCTGGAAGATGTGAAATTCCACCAGTGTGTGAGGCTTTCACGCTTTGACAATGACCGAACCATCTCCTTCATCCCCCCGGATGGGGACTTTGAACTCATGTCTTATCGCCTAAGCACCCAGGTGAGATGGGGCCCAGGCCGACACAAAGGACGTGGTGGGCAGTGGATCGAGGGCAGGCGTCAGGATCGCTGAGCACTGCCTCCTCCGCCTGCAGGTCAAACCCCTGATCTGGATCGAGTCAGTCATTGAGAAATTCTCCCACAGCCGAGTGGAGATCATGGTCAAGGTGAGCTCTGGGAGGAGTCTTTCTCCGCACAGGCACCATGTTTTTAACTCTTTTTTCCTTAACTTTGTGTGTGTTTTGCCTGCATGTATGTCTGCCATGCAAGACTTGCCTACCTTGTGCCCACAGAGACTACTAGATGAGGGCACTGGATCCCCTGGAACTGGAGTTATGTATGGATGGTTGTGAGCCTCCATGTGGGTTCTGAGACTCAAAGTGGAGTCCTCTGGAAGAGCAGCTAATGTTCTTAGCCCCTGAGCCATCTGTTCAGATCTTTGCAAGATTTCACTGTGTAACCCTGGATGAATTCCCTGTGTAGACAAGAATGGCCTCAAACTCAGAGATCCACCTGCATCTGCTTCCTGAGTACTGAGATTAAAGGCGTGCGCCACCATGCCTGGCTACTTTTTTCTTTCTTGAGACAAGATTTTTTTTAAAAAAATATTTATTTATTATATATACAATATTCTGTCTATGTGTATACCTGCAGGCCAGAAGAGGGCACCAGACCTCATTACAGATGGTTGTGAGCCACCATGTGGTTGCTGGGAATTGAACTCAGGACCTTTGGAAGAGCAGCCAGTGCTCTTAACCTCTGAGCCATCTCTCCAGCCCTTGAGACAAGTTTTCTTTGTGTAGCTTTAGAACCTGTCCTGGAACTCACTGTGTAGAACAGATTAGCCTCGGACTCACAGAGATCTGCTTGCATCTGCCTTCCAAGTGCTAAAATTAAAGGCATATTAAAGGCATGTGCCACCACTGCCCAGGTAGTCAGTCTTTCTTTCTCTCTTTCTTTCTCTCTCTCTTTCTTTCTTTTCTTTTCTTTTCTCTTTTCTTCTCTTCTCTTCTCTTCTCTTTTCTTTTCTTTTCTTTTCTTTTCTTTTCTTTTCTTTCTTTTTTTGAGACAAGTTCTTTCTATGTAGCCCTGGGTTGTCCTGCAACTTGCCAAGTAGACCAAGTTGGTCTGAACAGAAGCCAACTCACAGAGATCCGCTTGCCTTTGCCTCCTGAGTACTGGGATTACAGACGTGCGCTGTTGCTGCCACCACCCAGTTTATGACATTTTCATAATTTATATGATGTGATAGTTTGAATGTAATTGGCCCCATAAACTCACAGGAAGTGGCTTTGTTGGAGTAGGTGTGGCCTTGTGTCACTGTGGAGGCGGGCTTTGAGCTCACACATGCTCAGTCCATGCCCAGTGTCAGATCACTTCTGGTCGCCTACACATCAAGATGTAGGGCTCTTAGTGTTTTCTTTTTTGTTGTTGTTGTTTTTTTTTGTTTTGTTTTTTTTAGGTTTCTTCCTTGTTTTTTGTTTTTCTTTCTTATTTTTTTTAAAGATTTATTTAGTTATTATGTATACAACATTCCATGTATGCCCGCATGCCAGAGGAGGGCGCCAGATCTCCTTATAGATGGTTGTGAGCCACTATGTAGTTGCTGGGAATTGAACTCAGGACCTTTGGAAGAGCAGCCAGTGTGCTCTTAACCACTGAGACATCTCTCCAGCCCCTCTTTTCTTTTTTTTTTTTATTTATATTTATTGAGCTCTACATTTTTCTCTGCTCCCCTCCCTGCCTCTCCCCTCCCCTCTTGAGTCCTCCCCCCAAGGTCCCCATGCTCCCAATTTACTCAGGAGATCTTGTCTTTTTCTACTTTCTACTTCCCATGTAGATTAGATCTATGTAAGTCTCTCTTAGTGTCCGCATTGTTGTCTAAGTTTTCTGGGATTGCGGTTTGTAGGCTGGCTTTCTTTGCTTTATGTTTAAAACCACCTATGAGTGAGTACATGTGATAATTGTCTTTCTGTGTCTGTGTTACCTCACTCAAAATAATGTTTTCTAGCTCCATCCATTTTCCTGCAAAATTCAAGCTGTCATTATTTTTTTCTGACCCTGAACACTGTCTCTATAGTCCAGGCTGGACTTGAACTCTGTCTCTATAGTCCAGGCTTGCCTTGAACTTGACATCCTCCTGCTTCAGCCTCCAGAGTAGTTGGGATCACAAGCATCCAACACTAATCTTGCTCAGGTTGAGTTCTTTTTGCCTCCTTCTCTCTCCTGACAGGCTAAGGGACAATTTAAGAAGCAGTCAGTGGCCAATGGCGTGGAAATATCTGTGCCCGTACCCAGCGATGCAGATTCCCCACGCTTCAAGACTAGTGTGGGCAGTGCCAAGTATGTGCCCGAGAAGAATGTGGTCATTTGGAGTATCAAGTCCTTCCCTGTGAGTATAGGAAAGGTGGGACCCAGGGTGAGAGGGGCTTTAGTGGTGGTGGGGCTGCCTGCACCACATGAGGACCTCATCAGTATGCACATGGCTATCATGGAGGCTGAAGAAGGGGGTACACATGTGACTGTGTCTGCCTTCCTTCCAGCTGGGAGGTGGAGGCAGGAGGATAAAAAAACACATAACTACTTCAAGTCTAGCCTAGGCTACATGAGATTCTGTTTGAAAACCCAAACCAAACCAAGGTGGAGAAACTGAACCTTCCTGAAATAGCATCTCCCTTCCCCATAAGTCCTTAGGGATATGGCTTTGGTTCCTGGTGTTTCCTTCATAGACTCAGCTCATCTGTGAAATGGGATGGATGACAGTTGACCCACATTCTTTTTGATGATATTGTTGTTTTTGTTTTTTAGACAGGGTCTCACTGTGTATCCATGGCAGGCCTAGACTCACTATGTAGACCAGGCTGGCCTTGAACTCACAGAGGTCTGCTTGCCTCTGCCTCCCAAGTGTGTGTTATAATGTCCAATTGTGACCACATTCTCCACATTCTGAGCACTAGTGGCTTTATTCTGTGGTAATTTCGTGTGTGTGTGTGTGCGTGCATGCACCATGGGGTGCAGGTGGAAACCAGAGGATAACTTATAGGAGTTGGTTCTCTCCTCCCCAATGGATCAAACTCAGGGTGGCAGGCTTGGCCGGAAGTGTCTTGCTTCATAATCTTGACAGTCCTTTATTTTTTTTATTACTGACTTTTTAATTTTTGTTTGTTTGTTCATTTTTTGTTTTTTAAGACAGGGTTTCGCTGTGTAGCCCTGGCTGCCTTGGAACTCACTGTGTAGACCAGGCTGGCCTCGAACCACAGAAAGCCGCCTGCCTCTGCCTCCAAAGTTCTGGAATTAAAAGCATGCGCCACCACTGCCCAGCTGACTTTAAATCTTTTCATATGTGTAAGTGTTTTCCCTGTATATAGAATGTGCATCATGTGTGCACCTTGTGCTCATGAAAGTCAGAGAAGACACTGGGTCCCCGGCACTGAAACTGAGCTGGTTGTGAACTGCCTTGTGGCTTCTGAGAACCAAACGTGGGTTGTCTGGGAGAGCAGCAAGTGCTCTTCCCCACTGAGTCATCTCCAGTCACATCTTTACTCTTTTGAGACAAGGTCTCGTGTGACCTCCCTCTCTCTCCTACGTGCCAGGAGCACAGGTACCACCACACCTGGTTTATGTGGTGCTGGGTATGGAACCCAGAGCAGCACTACCAACTAAGCTGTAGCTGCACCTCAGGGTTGGTGATTCATGCATGCATGCCTACGTGAGAGTGAGACATGGGGGCTGAACACCCTATTGTTCTACCACTGTTCTTTTTGTTTGTTTGTTTTGTTTTTCGAGACAGGGTTTCTCTGTGGCTTTGGAGCCTGTCCTGGAACTAGCTCTGTAGACCAGGCTGGTCTCAAACTCACAGAGATCTGCCTGCTTCTACCTCTGTTCTGCACGCCCTTAGTTTCTTTTTTGTTTTTTGAGACAGGATTTCTCGGTGTAGCTTTGGACCTTGACCTGGAACTTGCTCTGTAGATCAGGCTGGCTTCAAACTCACAGAGATCTGCCTGCCTCTGCCTCCTGAGGACCGTTGGTTTCTTGACACAAGGTCTCACTCTGTACCCCAGAGTGGTCTTGAACTTGTATTCTTTGATTCTCTTGCTTTAGTTTCCAATGTAACTGGAACTATGGACCTTTGCCATTGAACCCAGCCATTGTTAAATTTGACCTGTTTTCTCCAGTTGAGGGACAGGAGTTAGACTTTTCCTATGGGTCTCAGTGAGCTCTCTTAACTCTGTATAATCTGTATAATGGATGATCCTCTGTGGAGGCTGCTGTGAAGGTTGTCTGAGAGACAGAGGCGGATCACCCACAGAGTCTGATGCCTCTGTGTGTCCACAGGGTGGCAAAGAGTACTTGATGCGTGCCCACTTTGGACTCCCCAGCGTGGAAACTGAGGAGGTGGAGGGCCGGCCACCTATTGGGGTCAAGTTTGAGATCCCATACTTTACCGTTTCTGGCATCCAGGTGAGGCTCCAATCACCTCTCATCTCACATCTTACTTATTCATTTGAGCTTTTATTTATTTTATGTGTATCAGCGTTTTGCCTGCTTATGTCTGTGAACCACGTGCGTACAGTCCCTGTGGAGGTCAGAAGGTGTCAGATCCTCTGGAACTGGAGTTACAGAGTGTTTTATTCTAACCTGGGTCCTCTGGAAGAACAGCCAGAGTACTCTTAACCACTGAGACATCTCTCCAGCCCCCGTTTTTGTTTTTCTGAGACAGGATCTCACTGTAGCCAGGCTGACCTGTAACTCACTTTGTAGGCCAACTGGCACTGAACTCAAGCAGAGACCCGCCTGCCTCTGTTTCCAGAGTGCTCAGATTGGGGGCATGCGCCCCCACAGCAGGTGTTATTATTTTGTTTGGAACCCAAGCTAGCCAAGGACTCACTCTGAGTCCAGGCTGGTCTCAAACTCACCACACAACCCAGGTTGGCCTTGAGTTTAGAATACCCTTCTGTCTAGATTCCCAAGCTCTAGGGTGAGAGCCCTAGGGTGTGTCTCCATGTCAGGCCCCCCCTTTGTCTTCTGCTCTGAGTGTTGCCTCCTCTGTTCTCAGGCTGGGGCTCTCCCCTCTCTGCCTCCCCTTGCTCAGTCACTATTCACCTGCCCCCCCCCCGGCCCACAGAGTATTCTCTTGTCCTGTCCCCAGCTCTGTCCTGTATTTTCCCTCTGTACTTCCTTTTCCCTACTGGCCTGGATCACTCCCTCTTTGCGCTTGTCATGCCCAGCTCGTGTCATTTTGTACCCTAAAGTATGTCCTGTGTGTTCTGACACAGGCCATCACTTTTCCTTCCACCGCTAGTCACCCTCCCCAATAACCCCCCATACCAGGACTGAACCCAGGGACTGGCTAGACAGGGACTCTCCCACGACTCAGACCCCAGCTCCTCACCAGTGACTCTGGAAGGAAGCTCTACTGCTGAGCTACATCCCTAGTTCTTGGCCACTCCTTTTTTTGTTTTCCAGGTCCGTTACATGAAGATCATCGAGAAAAGTGGGTACCAGGCCCTGCCCTGGGTTCGCTACATCACCCAGAGTGGGGGTAAGAGCCTGGCTCTCTGGGACAATGAGCTATACAAGGAGATGAAGGGCATGGGAACTGATGACTTTGATGATATTTGGGACAGTTCCAAAACAGCATGTTTTGCCCCAAACCCTTCCCTTACCATGCATGCTTCCTTGCGCTTCAGCTTACACATCTTTAAAATGGGGTGGAGAGCTGGCTTCATGGTGACCATAAGGTCTGAACAAGATGGTGACACTTAGCACTTATGCTGCCTGCATATGGTCCTGGCGATCAGAGGAAGGCGCCTGTGTGGAACTCATCCTGATCTAAGCAAAGTTTTTTTTTTAATTTATTTTTTTTATGGCAATAGGATGGAAATCAGGGCTTTACATGCAATAGTTAGGAACTCTACCATCCAGCCACCCATGTCCCAAACCTGTAAGCCTTAATTAAGCATTGTGAAATATTTCCAGGGGTAATTTTGTGCGTTGGGACCCAGGATAGATTTTGTGGGTGTTGGAGGACTCTATTTCCCCTTTCTCAGTTCTAAGATGGTCCCTGCTCATCTTTTTCTGCAGATTATCAGCTTCGTACCAGCTAAAAAGGAGAAGTGGGGATTTGAACATGAGGCTTCTCTCTCCCCAGATCTGAACTGCAGACTATAGAGAGATGGTGTGTGTGTGTGTGTGTGTGTGTTCATGCTGGGTTAGGCACTGACAACACATTCTGGCAGCCAGCACCTGGTACCTCTCACTCAGCTGTCTAGACTGGAGCTCTCCCTGATTTTACATGTAGAGGGCCGAACAGCCCCTCCCCCTCCACGAGTGCCTTCTTGCAATGACCTGCCTTGGGCAGCTCTGGGCTGCTGATCCGAGGCCCTGCTGGCCCTCCATCTGAGCTTTAGGTGTCATTGAAATAAATCTAAAAGCTGTGGATGTGCTTCTTGGCTATGGACTGGGACTGACCATAAGTCGCCAATCTTGCACCCTGATTCCTCTGCACCCTCCCCTTTGTTCCCTATCTCTCTCTGGTCCCCTCTGTAGCCACCAGAGGTCACTCTAAAATCCCGCAGTCCATAACTGCCCCACTTAACCCTGGTGCCCTTCCCATCTTGTTAAAAGTGGAAGGTGTCTGTTTTGCACACCACTCTGCAGCCACCTGCCCACCTGCCCACCCACCCATTCTCCCTTTCCATCTCATCACACACTTTGAACCTCAGGGCGTTTGCTCATGCATATTTTTCTTTTGATTTTTTTGGGGGGGGGGTGTTTCAAGACAAGGTTTCTCTGTGTAACAGTCTATGCTGTCCTGGAACTCGGTTTGTAGGTTTGTAGACCAGACTGGCCTTGACTCACCGGGCGCCTGGCTCGTTTTTTTTTTTTTTTTTTGAAGACAGGGTCTGACTGTCTTTCATTACTCCTCTTTCCTCTTGCCTCTGCCTGGTGTAGATGCTGGGAACCAAACTTGGGTCCTCTGGAAGAACAGGATGTCTTTCAATGGATAAGACTTGTCTTCTGTCTTGCTTTCCTGGATTTTTTTTCTTTTTGGTTTTTTGAGACAGGATTTCTCTGTGTAGTTTTGGAGCCTGTCTTGGAACTCACTTGGTAGACCAGCCTGGCCTCGAACTCAGAGATCCGCCTGCCTCTGCCTCCCAATGCTGGGATTAAAGGCCCCCCACTGCCTGGCTCCAGCTCCAAGACACTTTCTAAAAAAAAAAAAAAAAAAAAAAAAAAGCCCCCTCCTCCTTTAATCCCAGCACTGATGGTAGAGGCAGGTGGATATCTGTGAGTTGTTCCAGGCCAGACAGGGCCATAGTGAGACTCTGTCTCATAAATTTAAAGCAAACAAAAAAAAATATATGAAGGCGCGCACCTGACCGCCAGGAGGCCGTTCCTCTTGCACAGCAGTAAAATGAATGAACTAAGTTCCCGACTCATAGTAAGAGCGCATTAGGACTTCCGGGGTATATAAATAAATAGAATATTGCAGTTCTGAGAGCTTCCAGTCCTGCCTCCATTCCTCCCGGAGGCGCTAAAGACCCAGGATCAGCCCGCGCTAGCCAGTCTCCAACTTCTTTCCTGGGGTCAGTTAAAGCGTCCCTCTCTTTCCCGCCCGCCGGGTTTGAAAAACCAAACACCCTGCGGTGGCGGGCAGCCCCACCGGTTGCCGCCCGCTGACCAATCACGAGGCGCACCACCTCTATGGGCGAGACAAACCTTCCCGGCAACGCACTCTGATTGGCTGGGTCCCCCGGTGGGCGGGGCTTATGGAGGTCGGGCGCTGGGCAAACCGGCTCCCGCTACTGTGTTGCGAGTTCGTAAGAAAACAAGGGCGCTCTAGGCGGGGCGTGTGACGCGGTCCTCCGCCTGCTGACGGCTGACTACAGCGGCCGGTGAGAGCGGCTCGGAGCAGACCACGCCCGCCCAGGCCAAGGAGGGAGGGTGAGTATGGGGAGACCCGGCCCAAGGGGCGGGCGCCCTAGGGCTGGGCGGGGTTCCTCACCTCCTCTCACGGTGACAGGGGGAGGAGCCGGGTGCGAGAACCGGGTCGTACGGGACCGAAGGGTCTGAGGCCGGGGAGTCATCGTAGAGTAGGCCCCAGTGGCTCTGCAGCTCCTGGGAAGGGAAGCCCTAGTGTTCTGATCCAGCGCTTGCTGGTTCCTCAGCCTTGACCTGGACTGGGCTTGGGACTGGGTGGGTTTCACAGACCACCCGTGTCACGATGCTTCTGGAAGAAGTCCGCGTCGGCGACCGGCTGAGTGGTGCAGCGGCCCGTGGCGACGTGCAAGAGGTGCGCCGCCTCCTGCACCGGGAGCTGGTGCATCCCGACGCTCTGAACCGCTTCGGCAAGACGGCCTTGCAGGTGAGGCCTGGCTGACAGCCCGCTCCCACACCGCATCCTTCCTAGTCTCCTGACCGGGGTTGGAGATCCCCTGAGCACCATTCCTTGTTTGCACCAATGTTGGGTGGGGTGGTGCGGGCGGGGTGGGGGAGGGGATGACTTTTCAGCTCTAAAGAATTCCTAGTCATCAAGCCTAGAAGATTCAGTTTCGCTGCAGACCTTTATTCCGCGGGTGGGTTGGGGTTCAGCTTCTTTTCATGCCAGTCCTTGGGGACAGCTCATTTCTTGGGACTTCTAAAAAGACATTCGATCTCAGAAAAGTAGGAGATAGCCATTTTTTGTAGGAGTCCTTTTTAAGGGTCTCTGGTTATTTGGGGGTGAGGAGACGTCTTCATTTCTGAAGGTGGTGTGGATTTTTTTTTTCAATCTTCTGAGTGTCCCAGTTACAAAAATTCCCTATTGCTTGAAGACCCCATAATGTGGGGTGGCATTTATGGGGGGGTTCCACTTCTACATGGATGCTCATACATTCTGAAGATCATGCCGATGTCTAAAGTCCCTGGACAAAGGGGACCCAAATTCCCTAGAGCATCTTTTTTTGGCAAAAATTCTCAATAGTTCTCAGAAGATGGGTGGAGTTGCATTACCTGAGGGATTTAGCAGTTCTAGGATCTCCCATAGCCCTGTTCCTGAGAGAGGCTCCTGGTTCCTTGAGAGTTTTCTTTTTGTTGTTGTTTGTTTTGCTTTTTTTGTGACAGTGTTCCTAAGATAGCTTAGGAACCTGTCCTAGAATTTGCTCTGTAGACCAGACTGGCCTCGAACTCACAGAACTCACAGAGATCCACCTTCATCTGCCTTCCAAGTGCTGGGATTAAAGGCGTGTGCCACCACCGCCCAGCTACTTCAGAGTTTTTATCTTCACTTCCTTTCCCCATTCCCCTTCCTTTCTATTCTCTTTGTTTTGTTTCTTCTTTATTACTTTTTTTTATTATTATTATTTCTGAGAGGTCTCACTCTGTATATCAGGCTGGCCTTAAATTTGAGGCTATCCTCCTATTTGGGCCTTCCAAGTGCAGGGATTACAGGAGTGGTCCCAATGCCTGGCCCCTTAAAGTTTCATGAGAGTCACTTTTGTAGTTAGGGTCTTTTCTATCTTCAGTGAGCCTTGGGTGTGCGTGACCTGGGTCCTAAACAGCTCCCTGGATGGGGGGAGGGCTGTCTTTCCTGGGGTGTCCCTGTTCACTGAAGGACCCCTCACTGGCACTCTGGATTTGTTTTCCAGTGGGAACCTCCTAACTTTCTGCTCCCTACCCCCATAGGTCATGATGTTTGGAAGTCCAGCAGTTGCTCTGGAACTCCTGAAGCAAGGCGCTAGCCCCAATGTCCAGGATGCCTCTGGTACCAGTCCAGTGCACGATGCAGCTCGCACCGGGTTCCTGGACACCTTGAAGGTCCTGGTGGAGCATGGTGCTGATGTCAATGCCCTGGACGGCACTGGTTCGCTCCCCATCCATCTGGCGATACGAGAGGGCCACGCCTCCGTGGTCAGCTTCCTAGCTCCCGAATCTGATCTCCATCACAGGGACGCTTCGGGTCTCACCCCCCTGGAGTTGGCCCGGCAGAGAGGGGCTCAGAACCTCATGGACATCCTGCAGAGGCACATGGTGATCCCAGTGTGACCCGGGGCCACTGTCTCCAGCCAGGGAGCCTCTCAGAGTTAAGAGTCAACAAAAGGAGGAAAGAAACTTTCGCTCCTCACTCCTTCCATTGAAGAAAGGAGTGGGAGGAGCTGTCTGTGGTTTATTGGTGTTGGTTTCTTGAGTGAGTGTGTTTGGGGGACGTTTCTCTTTGTTTTTCTCATTCCATTTGGTGTGTTTGACAGAGAAGGGGCTCCTACCGGCAACAGCCACCTAAACGGTTCAGTTTTCCCTGTACCTGGCTGCGGAGACCTCAGGGCAGAGGTTTAAAGCCCTTGCCTCAGAGTGAGGTCATCACCTCCTGAACTCCTGGAAGCTGGTGACCTTGGCAGGCTGTGCACAGAGACCTGAAGTGTGAGCCACCTACTTTGGGCTTGGGAGGGGGGAGGGGAAAACATTTGGAATCAGTTAAAAGAATAGTGAGTGTTAATCTTTTTCTTGGAAGTTTGTTTTCCAGTCTGTTGTACAGAGTTTGAAATATATATATTTATTGCTTTATGGAAAGAAACTGTTTTGTGTGATCATTTAATGTTTTGGCTCATTACTTTAAGACTTAGGCATGATGACGGTGAGAATGACTTTTGATTTGGGAGTCTGGGATGGGGTATTCGGAGTTTCAGGACGTGGGTGTGATGAAACTGGGGGGATGGCGTGGCTGTGGGAGTTGTGGGGCGAAGGGACGACACGGTCATTCCCAGGGCGTCAGGGTAACTGAGCTGGGTGGGGCAGCTGTCGGGTGCTGTCGGAACGGAAGGGAGGCAGGAAACCGCGAGTGGAGAAAGGGGGCCCCAGATGTCAGCTGGGTGCCGGGAGCCGGCAGGGTGGAGGAGGGTGGGCGGTGGCTTGTGGCTTTTCCCCGCAGAGGCTTGGCCCGTGGGTGTGGCCTGCAAAGCAAAGGCCAACAGGATCCCGGAAGGGTCGGGGGTGGAGCCAGGTGCGTCGGTCGGGGACCTGCTCCTTTAAGAGACGTTCTCAGCGGGCGTGCCTAGAAGAGGTCGCACGGGGGAGGGGAGGGTTGCGCGCGTGCGCACTAGGCCGCACAGCCGCCATGCCGGAACCACACGGCTCTGCGTCCCTGAGGGTGAACGCAGCTTTTGCCGCACGCTACAGCCGTTACCGGGAGCGTGAGGAACTGCAGCGGCGTGAGTGAGGGGCGCCTGCGCAGGCCGGGATGTGGGGCCCTGGGGGAGGGTGCATCAGGTGATGGTGGCTGTGGGGAACCCGTGTGTACCCCACAGTGAAGGATCGCTATGGGGATCCGGACGGCGGCGGCGACTCCAGCTCCGAGTCTGACTCCAGCGACGAGCATGTGGTAAGGTTCTGCCACCAGGCTTCCCATCTTACCTAGATGTACTTGGGGCTTTCCCTGACCCGGCTGGGTTGTCTGGGAGCGTTCAAGACCCGCCTCCATCCTTTGAGTGACAGGCATTTCCCCCCAGCCCAGGAATCACCCTTCTTTCTGGAAGAGAGCTCAAACCTCCCACCCACTGAGCTCTCGCTGGGGTGCTATATCCTAACCCCTTGAGTGACAGATAGTCCCTTCCTAGTAGTCACTAAATCTTCCTGCTTTCCTTACTTGGCTTCAAGCCTCAAGCCTCGCACAGCACTCCTACTTAGATACACAGAGGGAGTCTGGCCCTAAGCTCATAGGGTCACACGGGCACATCCCAAGACCTGCATCCCAGTCCCTTGAGAAACAAGCAGCGTTCTCCCTGTACCTAGGGAATTACCAAATCCTCCCTGCTTCCCCAAAAGGACAGAGCCCCTTACCTTAATCACATAGGGGCTATGGGAACGTTAGGACCACTAGTTCCTTGAGTTACCAGCAGCACCCGCCCCATGCCTAGAAGACACCAAATCCTCACTACTTGAATCCAGGCCACCCATCAATTTGCAGGAGTAGCTTCCCCTAACTCAGTAGAGTCCCAAGGCAGTTCCAAGACACTTCCCCCATCCCTTAAGTGACAGCCAGTGCCTTACCCATCCCTAGGGATTGTCACATCTCCTGTGCTATGTCTTATCACTTTATCCTCCATCATCACAGATTGACCCCACATCTTGATTAGTGGTCCAACCCTTCTGTCCCCTAGGGAGCACTCTTCCCATTCCCCATGGAGCAGCCCTGTCTGTCCACAGCAGCTTTAACCGTGGCCTTCTAGTGATCCACCCAAGAGCACTCCCAACGCACCTGCTCTGTTGCCCAGCCTGTCCTTTTCAGGACAGACCTCCTTGTCCCGCTCTCTTTCTGCCCACATGCGCCCAGCGTCATACCTGCCTCTCTTCATCCGACTCCTCTTCCTCCCCCACGGGTCCCTGCTGTATCTGTCCTCCTCACCAGCCCCTACTCACGCTGTGCCAGCCTTCCTTCTGACGTCAGCTCCACTCCTTTTCCTGCTCTAGGAATTTGACCCCCAGCAGGAGAGAGACTTTTACAGGACCCTATCCTTGCTGAAGAAAAAGGACCCCCGAATTTACCAGAAAGATGCTACCTTCTATCAGAGGACAGGTATGGAGGGGGCTGCTTCTCTAAGTACCACAATGTTGATGGAATTCAATTGTTTCCCATCCTGAGTGAAGTGGCAGACACCACAGTGGCGGTGAATAGGCCATAATCCCATCGCTGGGGAGGCAGAGGCAGGCGGGTCTCTGATTTTGAGGTCAGCCTGGTCTACACAGAGTGAGTACAGGACAGCCAGGTTATACAGAGAAACCCTGTTTGAAAAGTCCAAACAAAGCAAAGTGAGTGGATGCATTTGAGGAATGTCACGGGCAAGGTGACCTCTGGCATCCACGTGCACTTAAGAAAGCTATCTCTATGAATTTATAAGTCTAAAATACCAGGCCAGAAATGCTTGCTTGCTTATTTATTTATTTATTGAGGTCATTTCTCAAGCCGGGCAGTGGTGGTTCATGCCTTTAATCCCAGTACTCGGGTGGCAGAGGCAGGCTGATCTCCGTAAGTTCGAGGCCAGTCTGGTCTACAAAGTGAGTTCTAGGACATCTCCAAAACTACAGAGAAACCCTGTCTCAAAAAACAAAAACCAACAACAACAAAAAAAAAGGATCATTTCTCATGTAACTTAGACTAGCTTCTAACTTATTATGTAGCCAAGAATGTGAATGAACTTCTGATCCCCCTGCCTCCACGCTCCTGAATACTAGAATACTGAATAGATGTGTGCCACATAACTGAAACTGAACAAAGAGCCTCGGACTTGATAGGCAAACATTATCAATTTAGCTATATCTGCACCTAAAGATTTTGTTTGGTTTATTGTTTTTTTTTCTTTTGTACATAGTGAGTTTTAGTCTAGCCTGGGCTACATTATACTCTGTCCCTGGAAAAACAAAGGGTAGAATTAGGATGGTTTACGATTTTACAATTGGAAGTGACTGGCAGGGATTCAGAACTCACGTCTGCTCCCAGCCCTGCCCATGGGATTCTCCGCCTGGGGAAGAGGGCAGTTAGGGCAACTACAGGTATCTTTTCACTGGCCCACAGCCGAAACCTCGTCTTCAGAGAGTGAGGAGGAGCCAGCAGCCTCGGGCAAGCAGAAGAAAGTCGAGCCCATGTACCTGAAGGACTATGAGAGGAAGGTCATCTTAGAGAAGGAGGGGTAAGGAGTCCCTCTGCCCACCTGTTAGCAGCCAGCTCTCTGGGGACCATGAAGTGTTTTGGGGTGGTTTTGCTGGTGGTGGGTTTTTGTTGTTGGTTGTGGTATTTTTTTTTTTTTTTTGTTTTGTGACAGGGTTTCTCTGTGTATCCTTGGCTGTCCTGGAACTCACTCTGTAGACCAGGCTGGCCTCGAACTCAGGGATCCATCTGTTCCTTCCTCCTGAGTTCTGGGATTAAAGGCATGTGCCACTATATCTGATCTTTTTAACATTCTTAATTTTACTTATTCATCATTCTTTTTAATTTTCTTCTTACTTTATGTGCATTGGTGTTTTGCCTAAATTTATGCCTGTGTGAGGATGCCAGATCCCCTGGAATCAGAGGTATAGAGAGTTGTGAGCCACCATGTGGGTGCTGCGAGTTGAATCAGGACCTCTGGAAAAGCAGCTAGTACTCTTAGCTTCTGAACCATGCCTCCAGCCCCCAATTTAACATTCTGAATTTATTTATTTTCCATAGTACATGTTCAAGTTGGATAAATTCTGGAGTCTGTTCTCCACTTCCACCATGTGGGTGCCAGTGATCAAATCTCAAGTCTGCAGGCTTGGCATTAAAAGCCTTTACCTGAGCTGGGCAGTGATGGTGCACGCCTTTAATTCCAGCACTCAGGATGCAGAGGCAGGTGGATTTCCATCAGTTTGAGGCTAACCTGTTCTACAGAGTGAGTTCTAGGACAGCTAGGACTACACAGTGATATTCTGTCTCAAAAAAACAAACAAACAGGGCTGGAGAGATGTCTCAGAGGTTAAGAACACTCATTGACTGCTCTTTCAGATATCCTGAGTTCAATTCCTAGCAACCACATGGTGGCTCACAACCATCTATAATGAGATCTGGTTCCCTGTTCTGGCATGCAGGCATACTTGGAGACAGAATGTTATATACATAATAATAAATCTCTTAAAAAACAAACAAACAAACAAAAGCCTTCACCTGCTGAGCCATCTTTCCAGCTCTATTTATTATTATTGTAGGGAGAAGAGTGACTGGGCCCATGTGCTCATGCCACAGTATGTATGTAGAGCTCAGAGGACAGCTCTGGTATCCATTCTCTCCTGCCTTTATATGGGTGGGTCCCAGTTCTCAAATTCAGGTCCTCTGGCTTGCATAGCTTGGGAGGCAGAGGCAGACTGATCTCTGCTAGTTTGATATTAGCCTGGTCTTCATACTAGACCAGCCAGGGCTACCTAGTGAGAGCCTGTCTGCAAAAAAGAGAGAAGAAAAGCCCAAGACTACATAGTAAGGGGAATCCCTTGGAGCAGAACCTCAGTGTTCTGCCCTCAGTCTTAGGCCCCTCCCACCAGGAGCTCAGAGCAGTTCCTCACCGCATGGGGACAGAGACAGTAGGGCCACTGAGAATATATATGTAGGGCTGTGTACTGCTAAACCCATTGCAATTAGAAATCACTGAAGATTGAGGCCAAACATGGAGATGCTCAACTCTAAGAACTCAAGAGATAAAAGTAGGAAGATGGAGGGGGCTCAAGAGCTGGCTCAGTGGTTAAGAGTACTGAACTATCTTCCAGAGGATCCAGGTTCAGTTCCCAGCACCCATATGGCAGCTCCAGCTGTTTCTAACTCCAGTTCCAGGGGACCCAACATCCTCACATAGACATACATGTAGGTAAAACACCAATGCATGTGGAATAAAAAAGTAAAAAATAAATAAAAACTTAGAGTCAGGCTGTGGTGCTGCACGCCTTTAATCCCAGCACTTGTGAGGCAGAGGCAGATGGATCTGTTGAGTTTGAGGCCATCCTGGTCTCCATAGTGAATTCCAGGATAGCCAGAGAAATACAGAGAGAGAAACCTTGTCTT